GATGAGGGTCATCTGGGCGATGTTGAAATGTTTACATAATTTGGTAGTGTTAGATTTTGTAAATGTTGTTGAAATGCATGGGCAACATCTATCGACGTCCGGGTAACTAATATCGAGTTCCGGGTAACTAATACCGAGTTCTGGGTATTTCATAAATTGAACAAATCACCAAGTACCGAGTACCGAGTTCCAGGCACCAAGTTCTGGGCATTGAGTTTCGGGCATTGAGCACCAACACGAAACTAAAATAAAACATTTCGTAAATTGCACAAATCACCGAGTACCGAGTTCCGAGTTCTGGGCACTGAGTTCCAGGCATCGAGTACTGAGTACCGAAACCCGGAACTCGGTGCCCAGAACCCGGAACCCGGAACCCGGTACTTGGTGCCCGGAACTCGGTGCCCGGAACTCAGAACTCAGTACTCAGAACTTGGTACTCGGTGATTTGTGCAATTTATGAAATGTTTTATTTTAGTTTTGTGTCAGTGCTCGATGCCCGGTACTTGGTGCCCAGAACTCGGTGCCTGGAACTCGGAACTCAGAACTTGGTGCCTGGAACTTGGTGCCCGGTACTCGGTACTTGGTACTTGGTGATTTGTTCAATTTACAAAATACCTGGAACTCGGTATTAGTTACCCAGAACTCGATATTAGTTACCTGGACGTTGATAGATGTTACCCGGAACTCGATAGATGTTACCCAGAACTCAATGACAAAACTTTGAGTGAAGCGGATGTGATCCGTCAGTACCCTAAGCGAAGCGGATCGGGTCTGCGGATACACCTAAGTAAAGCGGATAGGATCCGCACTCAGCCGCTGCCAAAGGAGGCGATAGAAACGACTGTATTCACCTAAGTAAAGCGGATAGGATCCGCACTACTCTATATTAGCTACACTGTGGCATAAATGAATGTAAGTGAAGACATACCTCAGCCACTGCCAAAGGAGGCGATAGAAACAACTGAGGGAAAGTATGTACCAAAGCACCTCTAATATATGGGCGAAAACCCGCTTGCTAACCGACCATGTGTCTTGCCTATGAGTCCATGACTTGTATTGAACGCACTCACTATTACATGTACACCCGAAACACTCCGAAGCAATCCGATGCTCCTTATTACATATCCGAGCGCATGCACTTGCATCTGGGTATGCATGCAAGTGACGGATCGTCCATATGTGCATGGACGAGCGTCGGATGGGATTTGGATACCCGCGGATGGGTTTAGGATGGGTCGGATGGATGTGGGATATCATCTGGTTTTGTCACTCAATAGACATTACCCGGAACTCGGTACTCAGTACTCAGTACTAGGTACTTGGTGATTCGTCTAATTTACGAAATGTTGTATTCAGGGTTTCGTGTCTCTCATTTCAGTGGTCGATGATAGGTGTATGCACTCATACAGTGGGTATGTACTGGTGCCTACATCAGCACACTGATTAGTATGTCATCCAACTATCTCAGCCCACTGATGTTTATAACACTCATTCTTCTGGGCCCACCCGTGTATATGATATCAACCATCTCGGCCCACCCATCTATATAATATACTACTACCTTGGCCCATACGTCTATATAATATACTACCACCTCGGCCCATACGTCTATATGATACGTATCTGGGCCCACCCGTATATGTGATATCCAACTACCTCGGCCCACCTGTCTATATAATATCTAATAAATCGCTCTCTCGGCCCACCCGTTTATATGATAACAATTACCTTGGCCCACCTGTCTACATAATATACTCCCTATGTTGGCCCACCCGTCTATATGATATATAATAAACTGCTCCTCCGGCCCACCTGTCTAGATAATAATACCACTACATCAGCCCACCCGTCTATATGATATATAATAAACTGCTCCTCCAGCCCACCTATCTAGATAATAATACCACTACATCGGCCCACCCATCTATATGATATATAATAAACTGCTCCTTCGGCCCACCCGTCTATATAATATACATCTCTCTTCAGCCCACCTGTCTATAATATACATGTCCATCCTACTCTACATATTACCTAGATGGGCCCACCCGTATTCATTGGTAATAATATCCCTCCTGGCCCATCCGTTAACATCAAGGATTTCTTCATCATCGGCCCACCCGTATTCATTGGTAATAATATCCCTCCCGGCCCATCTGTTAACATCGAGGATATCTTCATCATCGGCCCATGGTCCACTAGCCCGTGTTATACGGGATATTATGCACGTCAGTTTGCCTCGTATAATACGGAGTTTGTCACTGAAGGGGCTCTCCAATTATCTGGTATTTCATTGACATACTAACATTGCAATGAATGATAATCCGTCTTTGAAAGCTGAGTTCGAACTACCGAAATTTGAATTGACCAAGCATCATGTACCGAGTTCCAGGACCTGGGTCTCGACACTCAAATATTTGATATCTAGCACCCTTCCAATTATCCGGTATTGCATTGACATATTAGTATAGCAATGAAATGATAATCCATCTTTGAAAGCTAAAATCAAGGTTCCCTATCTGATCCACCCTATCTCCATCACCTTTAAAGTCTGTGGACATCCAGCATTGACCATCTGATTTCCCAAGATCAACACCATCATGAATGTGTCTTCCACCTCCGATATTGAAATAACCTTCTGGCGCACTTGGGCCTTGACGGTCACTCATGAGGCATGTCAATATACCGAACAGAAATTCATTGCCGAGAAAACAGGAGGAGACCCAGTCATACCTTCTCCTAAGCTAGACACCGATCTGGTGATGGCTTGCGATCAATTGGTGGATTGCCTCATAAAGGCATATAACAATCCCAGTGGGTCTTCCCGCAGATTCGGACAGTCCATTTGATGATTCAAA